CCTTAAGATATTTATAAACTTGCAGGACAGAGCCCCTCCCCCGGAGATGAGGACCCCACTAGTGAACTATCAGCATCTGGATTACAGCTGTGACTGGACCATTGTAGAAGTCTAATTACATCTGTTTCCATCCTGAAGGAAACAAAATAAAACAGATTTATAGTGATTGTCCATCTTGCCTTTCGGAGGGATCATAGCCTGCATGCGTCCCATCTCCCAGTGCGCTACAATGTCTGTACACCCACCAGCTGGAATTGTGGCCCCTCCAGGGAGCGGGGCAATGAGAGTGGCGGCATTTTGGGTGCCGACATTCATGGCGGGTCCGTCATAAAACTGGGGGAGTTGTCCGGGAAGGTCACAGGAACAAATTAGATTCCAACTGTCACTTTTTTTTCAGGATAGATTAGTAATCATGACCACCACATGCGTGACTACAGGGCGTTACAGCACGCTAAGGGGGGCTTCTGATTTTACCAAGTGCCCTGTTGTACCATCTGAGTGTACCGGGTCAAAATGTGATTGGTTCCCCTGAGAGTACCGGGCCAAAATTCGATTGGTCCTCCTGTGTGTACAGGGACAACATGTGATTGGTCCTCCTGTGTGTACAGGGACAACATGTGATTGGTCCTCCTGTGTGTACAGGGACAACATGTGATTGGTCCTCCTGTGTGTACCGGGCCAACATGTGATTGGTCCTCCTGTCCTCCTGTGTGTACAGGGACAACATGTGATTGTTCCTCCTGTGTGTACAGGGACAACATGTGATTGGTCCTCCTGAGTGTACCAGGCCAAAATGTGATTGGTTCCCCTGAGTGTACCGGGCCAAAATGTGATTGGTCCTCCTGAGTGTACCGGGCCCAAATGTGATTGGTCCTCCTGAGTGTACCGGGCCCAAATGTGATTGGTCCTCCTGAGTGTACCGGGCCAAAATGTGATTGGTCCTCCTGAGTGTACCGGGCCAAAATGTGATTGGTCCTCCTGAGTGTACCGGGCCCAAATGTGATTGGTCCTCCTGTGTGTACCGAGCCAAAATGTGATTGGTTCCCCTGAGAGTACCGGGCCAAAATGTGATTGCCCCCCTTGTCTCTGTAGCAGCAATCAATTTCTGATTAGATCTCTTTCTTTCTATAATTGGATCCGGTGTGAAGTTTCAGGACTGTACACAGATGAGTTCCCTATGATCAGTATATGATGGAACCCTCTTTGCCCTGATCAGTATTATGAGATATTCCGTGGACGTTGTGTCCTCCTCCTCCTCCTCCTCCTCCTCCGGGTTTTATTTAGAATTCATAGCGGCGCTTCTTCTTGTTTTCCAATCGTTATTCCGAGGATTTGCCCGCCAGTCGGAGGAGACGCGTTACGTAAGATGTGGCTAACTCATTAGGATCAAGGCCGTCCTTCAGGACTCCTCGCACCCGCAGTAATGGAGGCCGGAGGCTTGTCCTTGCTGTGTTGATGGTTGGCATTAATATACTGCAGCCCTACCTGACCCCATATATTATTGGGGCTAATAACACTCCCGGACTGTTTCCTTCCTAATCAGCTGATGAGGAAAAGATGCGTGTGCAGAGTTCTGGAATTACCGCATGGCCTCCCTATAATAGGTGAAGGGTGTGGAATCGGCAAAGCTTTCACCGCTTACCCACCGACGGTCCTACAACCTGCCCGGAATGGGACAATTCTTCCGCTTCTCACACTTGGGAGATTGTTTTTGATGTTAAATGTTTTGTCACCTAAATTTCCCACCTTTGGATATTTGCCTCCGGCACTGCGTGTGATATATAAACTTATATTTACCCCCCTAAAACAAACTCACTTTTCATATACAAATCAATGCTAAATACATTCCTTTTACCATCAGGACCTCAGTCAGGACAAGATATAATTCAGGACATCCCGGCAATACATGAACATTTCCTCATGTTTTAGCTTGTTAAAACATTACAGAAAAATGGTAATCTGTCCAAAATCCAGGGAGCTCCTCACTTCCTGTTTGGGCTGACAACACAGTGCCTCTGCTGCACTGAAATCCCAACCACCATCATCCGTCCCATCTTCTGGACCACAGAACTCATCCTACCCCCGTCCCATCTTCTGGACCACAGAACTCATCCTACCCCCGTCCCTCTCTGCCCCCCTCCGCATGCATACATTGATCTCTTTTTCATCCAAACGATGCTGCCTCTTTGACTCCCAAGAGTTTGTCCACACACTGTGTGAGGAGAAGGCTCTTGGAAGATGTAGTTCTGGGGGAGTGCCTTTGTCAGTAGGGATTGATCTGCCAGCAGCTGCCCCTGTAAGAATTTTACAATCTTGGTGATGATGTTACAGGGGGAATAGAAGCTGTTTCTTGTTACAGTAACGCATTAGTAGAGAAAATGATGCCGGGACAAGGTCTAGAGCCTTGGTTCACAACTGGTGGGTCACTGCATGCCTTCCCCTTTTCTAGGTGAGGGGCTCCTCAGCCTCCCCCTAGCGCAGCACTGCAAGTTCTCTCGCCAAGCAGCCATTCAAAATATGCTGCCCGGCGCCGAGTGTCAGCTTGAGGTGGGCTGGGGCTATGGCCACAAGGGAGCTCCATCCATACATGCGTTGCTTACAGCTCCCTCACGTGTCCTGTAGAGGTGCCTGGACCGGAGTGACGTCACATTCTGGTTCGCGGCACCTCTACAGGGCACGCAAGGGAGCTGTACCAGCAATGCATATGAATGGAGCTCCGTCACAGCAGCCGACACCGGACCCCGGGCTGAGGATCCGCTCCAGTTCTCGTAAGGAAGGGAGACCGGGGGGATCAAGAAAAGAAAGACGTGCGTTCCAGAGCGGTGCAACTTAGTGACTGAGGACAAATGTGGGTCTTGAGGTTGAGAACCGCTGATCTAGAGGGGGAAGATGGAGGTCTGGGGGTTAAATTTCGGCAATGCCTGGACCTCATAGTGAGCCATAATCGCATCACTGGAGATATTTTGCCGACCTTAGTGCAGATAACACCGCTGAGGGGAGAATCTGATGTGTGCGGAGAAATTGCAGTGCTGAAAAAACCTAATTGAATGGAACTGATCTGTTCCTAAAATCACTTTGTATTGAAATTGTGGATCCTGCGGAGATAACCTTGCTGGGTGCACCACGTTCCTCCCGGAATGTACAGTGTTCTCTATACGTAGGTCAAAGTCAGAAGGTTCAGTGGGATCTCTATGGTGGCTCTGAGCAGTCAGATGGGGATTGAGCTTGCAGGGCATCGACAATCCTCTCACGGTCATGTTCACCAGCTTGCCTTGTACTTTCTTTGATGATTTGGTGGATGATTATTGGACATGGCGGCCTCCTTGTCTGGAGGTAAGTTGATGACACTCTCTGCCTTTTAATAGTAAGGGTCAGAGAATGACGGAGACGTGTGGTCATCATAGGCAACGTTCAATCAAAATGACCAGCTCTCCCCCTCCAGTGTTGGGATCAAGGACAGATACAGTAAATAGGCGCTTAATAAATGACTGGCAACCTCCCCCATCACCTGTAACTGTGTAATGCGGGCCACAGACATTGGTGAGCTGTGCATCAACAATCCCATGATGTATACTAGTTTATAGTTGGAGTTCTCAGGTTTAGGGCAGCGGAGGGGTGAGGTGGTCATGTGTAGACAGTCCCGGTGTTGCAAAAACAATACTGACCAGTTCCGGGTTCCTGACCTGCTTGATCATTCTGTTCCCCCGAGAAGTCTCATTCAATCAATCATTGCTCCAAAGGGATTTGATCCTTACCCAATGCTGCTTTCCAGGATGGACTTCCAGCGGGACCTGCACGAGAACTCACCCGTCCGTCACAGGATCTTCACTCTCTTGCAGAGCAATGGCCTGTTCACATCTGGGACTCTTCCATGATCTGTGTCAAGTGCCTGGTCCCCCGCGGCATGCTATAATTCCTCCTGCCAGCCCATATGTCTCTACAGGACCCAGGAGTGTTGTAGGGGTCCGCAGATGGAACCATAGCACACATGGGGGGAGTAGAAGTGTCTGAGATTGGAGGAATGGGTGGTAGGACGGCCGAATATAAACCTTCTTCTTTTGCAGGCTCTGCTTTGTAACTTTTTTTTGCTTTAATGCTGTAACAGATGATGAGGGAGATCCTTAGGCCTCATTCACACTGCCGCGTATATACGCGTGTACTGTACCATATGCAAATAAACGGCTCCATACACATAGCCGCGTATGGAGCCGTATATTTGCGTAGCGTAAAAATGCGCAAAAGCAGAATGGAACAGAGATGCGCCGGGGCAGCGTATTTGCGCGCACATACGTGTGTTTACGCGCATATACATGCGTACAGCACATTAAAAATTCCATTACGAGTGATGCATTCTGGGATTGCATAGCCGCGCATAGACGCATATATACACAATATACAATTTTGCTTTCGCTGTGTGTGAATGAGGCCTTAAACTGTGCGTTTACCCTCCCCCCATCACTATGAGCCCCCAGGCATCGCAGCGCCTCCAGTGGTAGCTCATCGTCGCCTGTTTACCTGGCTCTATGTGTGGCCGCGCAGCAGCAACTTTGCATGGTGTCACTTGACCCGTTTGTCATGTAGTGTCGGAGTCTGGTGGAGAGTTTAATTGAGCGCACAGTATGTGATGAGACCGTTCTTTCCGCTCTCTGGCATCTTACGACAGAGCCACGGGGATGTCACTTCCACTTCTTCTGATGCCTTCATCTATGCAGTAATGCTGAATAAACAGCTGATGAAATATAAGACAAAATCCCCCCGGGGGGTGTGCGGCTTCACTCGTCGCATTCATTTATGAAGTCACGCACCCCACTCTATACACACTGTTCTGTATACTGTATGTAAATCTCCCATCATAGAGCTGCACTGCTAATGAACAGGCAGCATTGTGTCACCTGGTCCTCCATGTTTATAACTATGTACTGAGTATTTCCATGTCCTGGTCCGATCAGTGGCTTGGTGTTGTATTCTGCCCGCTTCTCACACTATTGTTTTCCCCACAGCTCACACTAACCGACGAGCAGAATGAAGTGAGTAGAAACGGCTGCGAGTCCAAGGAGCTGGTCTTCCTGGTACAAGTGGCGTGTCAGGTAAATATTACTGGAAATAGCTCTTGCCTTCCCGGTGTGACGGCTCTTACCGGCTGCACCCCGGAGCATCAACAACAAAGACACGTGCCATGATTGTTCCGGATAATTATTATTTGTATTGTGTCACCTTCGAATAACTTCTGAATATTTTCTGGAGGGGTAAACAAAGCACAAACGTTAGAGGAGAACTATGAGGGGGGGAGGGGGGGCTTTTCACTCACCTCATAGTTCTAGCCGACCTGCGACAATGAGACTGTCACAGGTCGGCTCAGTAGATCGGGAGGTGAGGGAACACATACCTGCATTCGCTCACTTCTCGATCCTGTCACAGCTCTCTGCCGTGACAGGGGGAGGGGCTGGATTCCCCTCTCCCAGCTCCGATCCTCCAGCGCTGACTGGCGGAACGGACGGGGGAGGGGGCGGGTACAGCTGGCTCTGCCTCTAGATAGGCGGAGCCAGCTGTCAGTCACGCAGCTGGGCGGATCCAGACATAATTGTCGGGATCCGTCCCGGCTGCGGCGTCTCAGTATACCGCGAGCTGTAGCTCCCTACATACTGAGCTTAGGGTGACGGGAGGACGCTAGTTTGTGTCCTCCCGTTACCCGGAGGAGAACTATGGGGGAAAGCCCTGACCTCATAGTTCTCCTTTAAAGGTGGCACCTGGAGGTACAGGCATGGGTGCTTACATACCATGTAGAGGGCCACGGAGCCCAATGACTCTTCCAACATATGTTAGAGGCGGCACCTAGAGGTACCGGCATGGGAGCCCGATGACTCTTCCAGAAATTCACAGTTTGGCTACAGATCTCAGGCATGCCCTTCTCCACATCTCACCCCTGGCTAGGGGCTGCCACGGTACTCCACAAGGTACATAAGCATGCCGGTACCTGCCCGAATTCATCATTGCCTGACCGCTAAGCACTTTGTGGTAACTTTAAAGTAGCAGGGTCACTTCATCTCTCCCCTCCCTGGGAGCTTATACTCATATTTCTTCACTCCCATGCCACTGCATTTGACCCCTGGGTCCGGGGAAAGAAAGCCCCTTGTAGGCACCAAACCAACTAGTTACCGAAGGGTATGGACTCATTTCCTGGCCCCATGTGAAAGCCTTGGGCCAATTACCAGGCAACTAGTTCTGTCACATGAGGGGGGGGTGTCACATGTTCATCCATACATGGAATACTGGGTATTTCACTTCAAGATGGGGGGGAGCCAAAGCAGGTGAGTACTTGTTCCTAGGGAGGGGGGCTGCTAAGTGACCTGAATGGGCGAGGAGAAAGGATTTGTACGGTTGGGATATGATTCGCTGGTAATGCAACAATGTGAATGAAGAATTACACACCGGGGAACTATTTATTATTGTTTGTGCCCGCCTCATACCCAATCCATTCTTCCTGAGCTGACTTCTTCAGGTCACAGAAGGATCGCACGCTGTAAAGCCATTGTAAGTCACCGACGAATGATTACAGAGAGACGATAAACTAATATCTATAAAAATGAATGAGACATTGGCCATCTTCTGTGTTCCGGGCCAAAGAGGTCAGCAGGCCGTGGTGGGAGAGACATGTACACAGGACGGGGACCAAACACTCCATTACATTCATCATCAGAGTTATGAAAGTCTTGTACAAGGAATATCCTTACCTAACCTATGGGGGGAACATCAAAATCCCTATACAGCCCAATAGTCTGTGCCCTCCAATGGTCTTCTTAAAGGTGTGTTTATTAATCTGATTTACAGCAAAGTCCTGAAATGGCTTTTTATACAAAGCATGGTGGGCACTCTTGAGATTTGTAGTTTCCATACAGCTGCAGTAGTGTAAGCCGTTTCTCAAATAAAATTTGCAGACGAGCTCTGTCTCCTCATAGACTTAACATGACAATAGGCCACGCTGGAAGCTTGTGATCCTGTGACCTCCGGAGGCAGAGATTAGTGAATCTGTTTGCAGATTGGGTTTGTGAATCGTTTATGCAGATTTGTGGAGAATAATGGCGTCCACCAATCCCGGCATTGAATGATGATGAATTCCAGGACTCTGCACAGATTGGACGTCCGTATATATAATACATTTAGGTGATTTGCCCAAACAGATGAGATTTGTCAGATTTATAGGATAGGCAAAGCCGTTTTCTGGCCTGTAGCGCGGAGGCCCATTTCTGATGGAACGCGCGCAGTGTAAGGCGACGGATCTAATCCCGGAGGGACGGCAGTTCCTGCAGCTGTGCTGTGCTGTTGGCCGCGATTCGCACCACTTGATCTGTTTTTTTCTTTCATGAAATGACTGCTTGAGCTAAATAATGATGCAGAAAACAGGTGCAGACTCCAAGCGCGGGCCCAGATTGTGTTCTGAGCCGGGATTGTCATGTTCCAATTGTCCTACGTGAATATTCAGAGCATTATTTTAGGGTGAACATCATGTTTCTTGTGCACCAAATGAAGCTCGGAGGTATAAGCCCAGCAGCCGGCGTGGATACAAATCGATGATTTATTTTTTAAAAATCAAATTTATTTTAATAAAATGCTTTTGGAGTAAAAATCTAAAAATAGTTTTCTATTTAGGAATACATTAATAATTTGGTTCATTCAGCATGAAATGGAGCTTAGTGATGTAGCAGGAGGCTGTACATTCTGCAATATTTACATTCAATGAATCCGAGCTCTGCAAGCTGAGAGAACACGCACGGCATTAGGGCTGCCACCTGTCCAGGATTCACCCGGACAGTTCGGGTTTTGAATGCTGTGTTCGGGTTTCATGGCAACAGAAACCCGGACAGAAAATGTCAGGCAGACAGGGGGCAACCAAAATTAAGATAGGGGCTACTGGCCTCGCACTGAAAATAGTCTCATCTGTGATATTTACATATGAATAAGCTATGACTCATTCTCCCAAAAAAATGTCCGTGCGTTGCTAGAGTGTTCGGGTTTCGCTTGAAGAAAAGGTGGCAACCCCACACGGCATTGATGCATTACTGAACATTGAGGTTTAAAGGAGAACTACGAGGTCAGGGTTTGCTCCTGATTGCATACAGCCCAATAGGAAAAAGTCGCGCAATATCGCTCAAAATCGCGCAATTTTCATGTCGCTCAGTGTGAATGGGGCCTTAAGGAGAACTATGAGGGGGGCGATTTTCACTCACCTCATAGTTCTAGCCGACCTGTGACAATGAGACTGTCACAGGTCGGCTCAGTAGATCGGGAAGTGAGGGAACACATACCGGCGCTCGCTCACTTCTCGATCCTGTGCCGGCAGAGAGCCGTGACAGGGGAGGGGCTGGATTCTCCCCTCCCCGCTCCGAACCATATGTATCAACGCTGCTCTGCTAAGAAACGGGGAATTTCTTGGCACAAAGTGCAGCAAGTGTTGGAATAGCCCGGATATATGGACATCCCCATTCCCTAGTGATCGCTGAGCTCATCGGTGGGGTCTGTGTTTGGGGGAAATCTGTGCCCAGAGACATTGAGGCTGATATACAAAAGGAGTTGAGAATTTTTCACTCACAAATGATCAATATTCAGCACATTTCTGTTCACGTTGGATACCAAAGGATATGCAGATGCTTTTCACACCATTCCTCAACATAGCTCCCATCTTTAGGGATTCAGCCCCATTGTGTCTGTTGGTTCCCAGGGTCACGTCCTCTCCGGGGTCATGCCATTGGCTGTGGAATGCTCTTTAGATGGTCCCATTGGTCCTGTTTGATGGAATCAGCGGGGGAGGGGGGTTGGCTCTCCTGTACAGTCCTCCCATAGTAGATGTGATAGATTGGCCGCTCTGGGGTTGCTTCACCTTGCAGGCTTTTAGCTAACACTACACTACAAGGAAAATCAATCTCAATCTATTTTATGGCTGCATTGTCTACGCAGAACCCCCCCCAGCCCTCTGACCCGAGTGCAGGTTACCCAGAATCTGCTAATGTTTCCTCTGGCAGCCTGTCAGAGCCCATCCACTTCTCCAGCAACGGACCTCATTTATTAATGTGTCTGGAATAGGTAATGCCTGGGTCACCCTACCAGATCCCCCCCTCCAGCCTCTGTAACAAACACTTTAATCAAATGTCAGTCTTCCTGCCGTCCCCTCGCTGGTTCCTCAGTGCCTGTCATTGTCCACACAGTGCCTCCCTTCGGGGATATTCTGGTTATGGACGATGGGTTGTATCCCCTCTCCTTCTGACTTTCGGGGTCTCCATGTAAGGAGGACAATGGTTAGGTCCCGTACTCTGTGTACTATGTACTATGTTGTAGTGTAGAGCACCATCTCATAGGGTGAAGTGCCGAGCCATACCCAATTTCACACTTAGCCATGTTTGGGGGCCATGATGGTAGGTTGGGGAGGTAACCAAGAGCGCTCTATCGGTCTAGCACCCATGGCCGGTGCTAGATTATTTTGTGCCCTGGGCAAACCAGCTACTTGCACCCCCCAGCCCCCCTCCCGTGGCGCAACCCCCAATCCTCCCTGGCACAGCCCCATTCTCCTGCCAGCTAGCTTCCACAGGCGACGGGTGGACGTAAGCAGGCGGGAGCAATAGCCAGACTGCTATTGGCTATTTTAATTTGAAATATTCCATAGCAGACTGGCTATTGAAACCCCGCCCACTGAGCAGAGTTCCGCTTTTCTGCTTAGCGGGAGGATGCAATAGCCAGCCTGCTATTGGCTTTTGCAATTTGAAAGATGGGGGGGCACCATGAGGGGGGTGAGTGGTGAAGGCAGTGCGCCCTAGGCGGCTGCCTAGTTTGCCTAGTGGCAGCACCGGCCCTGCTAGCACCGTACCTCAATCTGCCAGCAGATATTCCTGTATTTCCATGCAGAGCCTCCCATCAGTTAGTGTTTGTGAATCTCTTCCCGCCAGTGTTCACTACAATTAAATTACTGGCGGTGTCTGTAGCTGCTAGACACGGCCCGTGGCTTATAACAGGGGTGGGCAACCTGCCATCATGGCTCTGTCACTGTGAGTCATGCCTGTGCCTCATGGGACTTTATAGCCACAACAGCTGGAATGCCGAGGTTGCATATCCGTGACCTAGAAGCACAGATACATGACCAGCTGCTACCCAATAGGGAGGTGACACATGGGGCCACCACACACCAGGGGGAAAGGTAAGGGGTATGTTGGGCCAATCCAGGAAATCCGATTAGTGCTACAGTTCCCTTGGCTGAAGTGGGGCAGCGCCCCTAGTAATCCTTTACATGCATTTTTCGGTTGATGATTCTACTTGGCGCTTTTGATTTTTCTATTCGGATGTTCTAGAATGTGACAAAACACAAAAAAAGGTTTCCCAGCACACCCGCCAGCCGGCCTACAACAAAACATATAACCCGTCTAACAGTGTGCGCTACAAGCAGAGGTACCTTCAGCCAATAATATGTAGAAGCCGCACCGCCCCCGTCAAGGCACCTCTGCGAAGTGCGGTCCTCACTCTATTAGTATGAGTCTCCATGTGGGAGGATATTATATGCAGGCGAAAAATTGAATGCAGGAGGCCGCCCACTCCTCCTCAAAATGTGCAGGGACGCACTGGAGGCCCAGCAATCAAAAATGCACATTGGGTCCCCCAGTGCGTCCCCACATGCAAAATAGTCAAACTAGAAAAAGATGGTGACCCAGTGGCGTAACAATCACCATAGCGACCCAGGCGGCCGCTATGGGGCCCGAGGCACGGCGGGGCCCGGCCAGGACATCTCCCTGATGCCGTGCGGGCCGCCTTGCTCGCTATGGCATCTTGCTCGGACAGCCAGGCTGCCGGCTGTCACTGGCGGCTGTGAGGAGGAACGCTACGTTCCTTCTCACAGCCGCTGCTGAGTTGGTGACAACCAGCAGCTTCGCAGGAGGTGGCTGGGCCCGTCATCGGCAGTGATCGAGGAGGCGGGGCCCGGTGATCGAGGAGGCGGGGCCCGGCG